AGAGAGAGCATGTGCCAGTGCATGAGGGGAGGGGCAAAAGCAGGCTCCCTGCTGAGCAGGAAGCCCCATGTGTGAGTTGGGGGGGGCAGCTTTGGGAGGGGGCCCCCAGTCCCAGGACCTTGGGATCACAACCAGAGCTGCAGGCGGCCACTTCACCAACTGAGCCACCCAGGTGCCTCCAGAGGGCTCTCATTTTTTAACTGGAAGTAGTTATTCTCAGCTTGAGAGATTTGGTAGAAAAGAAAAATCACTAATTAATTACATCATTTAGGGGGGTGTGTCCTCTTGTCTGCTTGCCTTATTTGATGCAGTTTCTTCATGAACAAATGCTTGAAGATAAAACTTATTCGTAGAACACAAATTTTAGTTTAATTACAGTAGAGAAACTTAGCTATTTTAAGGAACTCTGTATTGAATAATTTTCCAAGCAAACAAAATAGTTTGTCATGCAAATGATTGCATTCTAATTTCCTTGTATAAACACCAGTTTCTCATTCTTCATTTGTTTGAAAGGTTTAGTCCTTAGTTGCTGAGGAAAGACAGAGGGTTCAGTACATGGTTCCTTTTCTTTAGCTTCATTAAATTGTTCCAAATGTTTAAAGGCACCCTGGATTATCATAGAACAATGCACAAGGAAGACAATAGTAAAACTAGAGGAAAAAAAATAGTAAAACAGAGAGGCAGTATTTCAGATTTTTTTAAATTTGTAAGCAAAAGTCAAAGGGAGTTCAGTGTTAGCAGGAAACTCAGTTCAAATTAGAGAATCTCGAGGAAATCTTTCTCATTGGTAAACTGATCATTATTTCCACCAAACATTCATTGCGACTTGCTGGTTGACAGGTGCTACTTAGAGATAGGTGCTTTCTGGGGATAAAATCATGTTTAAGAACAAGATGTCTGCCAGCCAGAACCCATGGTCTGGTAGTTAAGTTCTGTGACCTGTGTGTGAGGCAGCCAGCTGGTTTAAAAGCCAGAGCCTCTGAAGCCTGGTGCACAGCAGACAGAGGAATGCTGCTACACAAGGAGGGAAGGACAAAAGTAAAGTGGTAAAGAACCAGAGAGGCAATGCTGGAGAATGACGATGAGGCAGAGACCTTGTCACTTTGTAATGCAGGTTCTCTGTAGGAGAGGAGAGGACAAGTCCATTTTGGATTGCCCTGCACAGAATGGTTCAGACCAGCATCTGTATGTTTTACATGTTTAAATTAAAAAAAATGCAAACCACTTTCCCATGTATCCCATCAGCCTTGATGATAATAGCGAAGAAGTCTTTATTTTTATCTTCGGTACACAGATGAGCAAACTGAAGCGGGGCCAGTTTAATGATTCACCTGAGGTCACAGCGTGTGTTCCGACCTGGCTTTGGACTTGAGTCTTCCAACTCCAAATTCGGAGCTTTTCCCACCATTCAGGAAGGACAGCACCCAAGGAGACGAGAGGGGCAGATTGGTCTGCAAACTGGATGGCACAGACCGTCTCACCCAGGCGTGTGCGCAGGGGGGATGTGTGGGAGGCACAGGCTGACGCCGTCAGGAGAGATATATACATGTTCCCAATACTGTCGAGGACGACGGATGGCTTTGCAGGGACACATACCGTAGTGTGTGCACCTCATACCCTCATACCGTAGCAGAGGTCAGCAGGAGCTTTTGCTCTCTTCTTTGCTAGCTTTGTTTTGTTCAAACTATGGATTAACAGATCCAGCCCTTAAAATAGTGGCAGAGTGATTCTCTGTGCTATAATCATTATGAGGATGACCATTGAGGTCTCGGAGCTCACTGGAAAAGAAAAAGTAGGGATAAATGAAGTTGATCTCTGTATGTTGTGTTAACAATGGATTTGGCATTTAATGTTTTCCTTGGACTTAGAAGACTGGATGTGGGAGGCCAACACAATGACAACAAAGCAAGGGCAGCTGACCACAAAGCTGTAGCATCATTTGAAAAAATATATATATATATTTTCATATTCATATATTTATTATTTGAATTAAATTTTAGATTTGATTTGGTTCAAGAAAGTTTTATAGCGTGGTTAAAACGTGTATTTTCAATCTGAAGGTCAAATAAATCTGTGCTTCTGAGTATAAGTAGAAGAAAGAGAGAAGAACTGCTATATATGGAAGAACTTGCATCAGATGACATCACCGGAAATCTGAAGGATAAAATCATTTTAGAGTTTTCCCAGAGTTAAAGGAGTGTCCAACTTATATGGACAACCTCCTTCCCATGATGGGTAATTTTAGTTTTGAGTTTGCTTGTTTTCTTTTTTTAAATACGATTTATTTATTCGAGAGAGAGGGAGAGAGTGTGCGTGAGTGCGGAGGGGCGGGGCAGAGGGGGAGAGAATCTCAGACTCTGCACTGAGCCAGGAGCCCAAGGTAGGGGGATGGGGTGGGGCTCGATCTCACAATCCTGAGATCAGGACTTGACTCCAAACTGGGGGTCGGAGAGGACGGTCAACCAGCTGCGCCACCGGGCACCCCTCGGTTTTGGGGTTTTAATGAGAGATTGTTTTAGTTATATGTATTTTATGCATTCCTGGGGCCGCTTAAGTTACGGTGTTGCTAAGCCATGGCAAAGCTCGCCGCAAAAATTAGAGGTGCTGTCATGCATGTGGTCAGTGCGGCTTCCTGGCAGAGCGACTCAGGTGTTGCAATATTGCTTACATCTGGGCACTCCGCCCTTGCTTCTGCCTTTGGGACCCTTCTGCTGCAGCAGTACAGACGTCATAAACTGGCCAGTGACTCCAGGAGGCGAGAAACAAGAGAAGTGACTCAAGTGGGACTTACAAGGATATAAAATCAATCCAGAAATCTGCATGGTGATCCCCAAGGCATAGTAAAGTTATCTCCCGACCAGCAGCAGCGGCCATGTCTGTGTTTTATTTTTGGGATGTCGTGCCTTTTCGAGGCTGCTTTGGTTTTCATCATAACCAAACATCAATTTTGAAAAAAAAAGATACGTTAGGGATTTGGGAAAACAAAACTATCCCATGGTGTAATTTTTCTCTGAAGTCTTACTGTCTGGTAGGGTCTTATCAAAGGTAGAAAAAAATGGATCTAGCATACAATTATTGACTATTTGGTCTCTTTGTAACCTATGGTGTACATGTAGTGTTATTCGTGTCTAGAAATCTCTTAAATAAACCATGAAAGAGAGTTTGGAGAAAAACTGACTTGGAGTGCTGTGTTCACAAAATTTCTTCTAATCATCATTTTAAGGCAAAAATCTCTAAAGTAAGGCAATGAGATTTGAGTAGATTGAAGCTGACCAAGAGTACTGCATATGTTGAAAATCAAAGTGCTTATAAAGTGGGCTACCCTTAAGAAAACATTACTTTATCTTTTGAGCCAATTTTTATTTTCAGTGTGTTAGTTTCTAAGATATTATGCAACCATGTCTATATTATTTCTGTCTTTACATGAAAGAAGTAAATTAAAACGAATAGCAGTGATTTATGTTTTTAAATCATAGGAGTAGTAGAAAATCAGCTCAATTTTCTAGATCTTTTATTTCCCCTCCCCATTTTGGGCAAAAATCATGAGCAAAGAAACTCAGCGTTCACGTTTTTGACAGCTCACAATCTTATTATCAGTCCATCCCCCCCCCCCCCCATTTCCCTGCTGCCGTCCGAGCTCAGCAATTTTTCACTTAGTTGCCCTGATCACATCGTTGCTTTCCTACAGGTTGTTTTTTTTACAAAACCGCCAGAATTATGTTTTTATAATGTATGTCAGACCGTGTCACATGCTGCTGGATTTTTATTACACTTAGAATAAGAGCCAGAGCCCTTTCTACTGCCCCTGGAGATCTGTCTGGCTCTTTACATTTCTCATCCTCTTCTGCTTACACTCCCTGTGCCCATCCCACCCCCTTGTGTACTCTAGTTACCTCCCAGTTCTTCAGTAACTGGCTTGACCCAGAAGGTGGCCTGGCACTTGGCATTTCCACTTCCTGGATTGCTTCTGCACCAATCTTATCAGCCTTGCCTTCTTGTCTTTACTGACTCATCTTAAAAACTACCTTCGGCTGGGGCACCTGGATGGCTCAGTGGGTTAAGGCCTCTGCCTTCGGCTCAGGTCATGATCCCAGGACCCTGGGATTGAGCCCTGCATCTGGCTCTCTGCTCAGCAGGGAGCCTGCTTCCTCCCGTCTCTCTCTGCCTGCCTCTCTGCCTACTTGTGATCTCTGTCTGTCAAATAAATAAATAAAATCTTAAAAAAAAAAAAAAAAAAACCTATCTTCGGAAAGATCACCCAGCCCAAGGCAGCTCCTAGCCTTCTACTAGGCTATCACTCCGCTTTGTTTTCATTTATCATTTAAGTGACAAATACTTACTGAGCACCCACTTTGTGACAATAAAGTTCCTGCCCTTAAGGGAGATGTCACTGCAGTCAAGGGGGTTTGTCAATAATCATCACTACCAGGTGCCCATACCCTGACCCAGTGACATAAAAGGAGCAGAAGATCCATGATGCCATTATTTCTGCCGGCATTAGTGAAGAGAACTTTCAGGGAGCTCATTCTTTCTCACACTTTTACTGTTTATTTCTGCAAGGTACCTCTGCAACCGGAGAACGGTCGAGGTGCATGTGGCACAAAGAACACAGCCATAAGGCTCTAGCAACCTCCGCCACCAATTTACTATGCACATTCTTGAGCAACCCACATTGTCTACTTTTTGCATTAATTTTGTCACTTGTAAAATGAGGTAGTCCTATCCCTTTCACGAGGTCCTTGAGCGAATGCATTATGAAAGTACTTGATAAATAGAGCACTAGTCAAATGTCCCATTCAGGTGAGTATCAGATATTGCCTGTAGATTTCTTTCAATTTGTGGACACTTTTCTCCTCTCCTCCCAAGGGAGCTTCTTAAATATGTGTCTCTGTTTACTTGTCCTTTGGGTAAACAACGCTGAATAAAATTTAGCTTGTCTCTGGTGGCCATATTTTATTTTGATTCTATCCTAACAGCATTAATTTTTTGTTCTTCTGCAGTACTTTGGAAGTTTGCTTGTCATTTTCTGTGTGGAACTGGCTTGTGGTGTTTGGACATATGAGCAGGAAATTATGGTGAGTTGAAAGTGGGGTATAGTCACGGTCTGGAACAATACTCAGTTCAGCCTTTTGAATCATATACTTTGGAGTTATTTAGGCACATGATTGTGATTTTGAATGGTTTTTTGTTTATTTGTTTGTTTGTTTAAGTAGGCTCCAAGCCCAGAGGGGAGCCCAAAGTGAGGGTCAAATTCATGACTAGGAGATCAAGACCTGAGCCTAGATCAAAAGTCAGAGGCTCAATTCACTGAGGCACCCAGTGCCTCTAATTTGAATGTTTATCCTGTATAATAACAATGCTGGTCCCAGTATTTCTGAAAATGAACACTTTCTTGTCTGTGTCTAAAGCATAGTTCCAAATCATAATTTGTATAATTTTATTTGCTGTACTATATGTCTTTAATTCCACAGGTTGCTAAAACATCGATGTAATAGACCAGAAATAATACATGTCCTAAAATAATTTTTTCAACTTCTGAGTATATAATAGGAAAGTTATGCGTTCACAACAAGAACTGGGAAAGCTTGAAAATCTACATGTAAGCCTCATAAAATGCCCACCTCAGCTGTATTCTGATGACTAGGAAGCATGAATTTTCTGTTCCCAAAAAGCTGAGCCAAATTCCTTGAAGAAGAAGTATATTTGAAGAGTTGCTGTGTGTTTACTTCAGCCTCAAAACACTCTGACAGTTTGAGACTTGGCTACATGAAAACAGCTCTTAGGCATTTTTCTCTTTCATTTTAGGAATTGAAATCAACTTTCAGAGCGATGTGAGAACGAGCAAGGATAGGGGATTTTACCAGTCCCGTTGGGTGTATCACTTGCTCCTCACCTCCGCTCACACAGGGCGTGATGACTTTCTTAATGTTTGCCCGCTTCACAGGTGACAGTTGGTGCATCTATCACCCGTGAAGTTGAGCCCCTTTGCATGTCTGTTTGCTGGCTGCTCCCACCGTGGCAGGCCAGGTTTGTCCCCTCCAAGCACCACAGAGTAATTCTGTTTTGGGAAGGTGATGTTTTTCAGCAAGTTCTCGGACAGTTTACAGGACAGAATCAGAATAGAGGGGAAGGCATAGGAAGAAGGGGTAGGGACAAGGCATTCACATTTGTGACAAGTTCCCCAGATGAACCTTTGACATTTGAACGTGTAGAAGCTTTCAAGAAGAGAGGGAGATCATTTTGTATTTGTTTCAGAGAGGCATTTCAGTACTGAAAGTGAAGTCCTTTCGGTACCAGTACCGATACTGTGGTGGATCTCTTACTGTATTGTGAGACTGTTTTGAATGCTAAGCGGTAATTACAGACTAATGAGTACTTTGCATACTCTAATTAGCATGTAAATGATGCTTGGGCGCTGCCACCCATCTAAACCTGCCCGAAAACACTCCTGCTTCCCATCCATGTCTGACAACTCTTAGTAAGAAGAGAGAATTTTTGATTTTTTTTTTCTATTAAAAATTGAAAAGTCAGGGCAGGTTCTGACTAGTTTAATAAAGTTAAAAGCTTTCGTCAGAATGAAATCTCCTGTTAAAAGAGGAATGTTCTTGCTGTCTTTGAGAATCATATTTTCACTCCATCCCTAGAAACATCATATATTTCGGGGAGTGAAAGAGTAGTTGGTGGCTCCAGACTCCCTTTCTGGGTTTCATTGATAAAGAGACGGTCGCTTCTAAATTTTTTTGTTTTCAGGAAGTAGGTGTATCTCCTTGACATTCAAGCAATAGATAGTAGTCCTAGAATTAGTCCCTAATCCTTCGCCACAGCTTTTCCTTATGTTCTTTTTGATAATTAAAAGGGATTTAGAGGGGCGCCTGGGTGGCTCAGTGGGTTAAAGCCTCTGCTTCGGCTCAGGCCATGATCCCAGGATCCTGGGATCGAGCCCCGAATCGGGCTCTCTGCTCAGCAGGGAGCCTGTTTCCTCCTCTCTCTCTCTGCCTGCCTCTCTGCCTACTTGTGATCTCTGTCTGTCAAATAAATGAATAAAATCTTTTAAAAAAAAGGGATTTAGAAATGAATTTATTTTCTATGGATTGTGAAATGGTTTGTATAGCTCTTATGTCATATCATTATTTTATTTTTTTAAGATTTTTTAATTTATTTGACAGACAGAGATCACAAGAAGGCAGAGAGGCAGGCAGAGAGAGAGAGGAGGAGGAAACAGGCTCCCTGCAGAGCAGAGAGCCCAATGCGGGGCTCGATCCCAGGACCCTGGGATCATGACCGGAGCCAAAGGCAGAGGCTTTAACCCACTGAACCCCCCAGATGCCCCTGTCATATCATTATTTGTTAAATCTCCCAAGTTATAACAAATATGAAATGAATTAATTTAAGGGATTTGAAAGGAAATGTTTTGATTCTAATATAATCTAATTCTAGAAGATACTTCCTTCTATTCAGTTAGGGAGCCATCTCCCGGGTGTCATGGTGGTACTAAATGGATACACGCTGCCATTTCAGTTGAGTGCATACACCACTGTTTGCTTACGTAAATCTCCGCCATTAAGTCACCTGGAGAAAGCAAGGGCTGTTGGGGCTGTTTCCAAGGGAAATGTGGAAAATGGTTCTTTGGAAGAAAAGTTTGTCAGAATTTTTTTATTGCTTTTGCACTAATGGCAGTGTGAATGAAAAGTGCCATTAAAGTTTATTAGCTGCCAACTTTTGCAGAACCCAGCCTTTGCATAGAATGGGCTTTGTGCTCTTAGCTGTTCCATGCAAGAAGCCAGTAAGTGTGTGTTTTCCTTCATGGCCAAATCACAGTACTTTGTGCCAGAACCTCAGTGATCTCCTCTGTTTTTTGCTATATTTGGTCTCACATCAATTGTGGTTACAAGAGGGAAAAACTTATATTTACTTTGTAAAATAAAATTTATAATAAGACTATTCTAATAACCAAATCAAGAGATTTGACATCAGTCTGTTTCCCATTATTTCTGTTGTTTATACGTGGTCACCTCCTATTCATGATTCTTTCTTCAGAAAAATCTGTCAATAAGATTAACTGTTTCAGATTATAGACTTCTAGAGATTTACTTCATTTCCAATTTTATATACTCAAAGAGATATGAAATAATAACTTCTAGTGAGTAGCTTGAATTTTGGTTTAGTTCCCTGAATTTTGTTGAAACCATGTGAACATGAAGTACACACAGTCAGGCTAAAGGAGCAAAGTTGTGTGCCCAAGTGTTACCATGTTTTCTTTTGTACGTACATTTCCAAGTAATAAAAAAGAGAATTAACAAAGGAAAACAATAAAAAACTTTTGTGGTCAGGAATTTTTAAGCTACTTCTACTGATACTGCTATTTTTAAAATAAGATTGCAAAATAGTCCTAATCTTAAGTTAGTGTCAGGCTTGCTTGGCTAAGCCTGGTCTGTATTACCACATACATCAGATATGGATATCTGTCCAGTTTCCCAGTTACGCATTCTAAACATAATACCACATGTGTGGTGAGACGAGGATGTGTATGCGTCAGTTTCCCCCCAGGGCACTGGAGATAAAGCACCACGTGATGCGCTGACTGGATTTTCGGCCAAATGTTGTGTTGTGTACCTTAAGCTCTGCCATGATTAAACGCTCTGTTAAGGGAGACAGTGCTCGGTGACGTGGGACTAGAAGCACAAAAAGTGCTTTAATTTGTGAGGTATTCTTCCTAAATTTCTAGCATGCATCCAAAATCCAATTTGGGGAAAGATATTTGCACACTTATTCCAGAACGAGGCATGGCTTGAGCTGAATTCTTTCCCTTCTTAATTCTTATCCCTTTATTTTTGGTACTATAATCTGCAGTCACTTCCTTTTTTAGGAAGATTTCATGTATTTATTTGAGAGAGAGAGAGCAGGAACATGGAGAGAGGCAGAGGGAGAAGCAGACTCCCAGCTGAGCAGGGAGCAGGACATGGAGCTCCATCTCAGGACCATCCCAGGACTATCCCAGGACTCCAGGATCATGACCTGAGTCGAAGGCAGATGCTTAACTGATTGAGCCACACAGGCCCCCCAGCAGTCCCTTCAAAGACTGACTCCATAGCATTATGGAATCAGATCCAAGGGCATTTCTGGGCAGGGATAATTTGTTACGAGGAGCTCTTCAGCCAAACATGTAGGACATACAGTAAACCACTTGTTTTGTGATTTCCTTCAGCTTGACATTGGCATTAAATGATTTTATTTTTTTTCTTTGCTTAATGTAAAGAACTTCCTCATTTACTGCAAACATCTACACATAGAGATTGTTTCATAAGTAGCTAATAACCTTGAGCTTAATTTAGGCCGCAAACAAATACAAATTTTAAAATAGTATTTCTTAATTGCAATACATTCCAATATGCGTATGAGTGGGTGAGCGATTATTTTTGTGAATATGGGAATGTTTGTAGTCTGAATGTGTGTGTTTGTATGTTCCAGTTGTGATATTTTGTTTGTTATCTCCAGGTCCCGGTTCAGTGGTCAGACATGGTCACTTTGAAAGCCAGAATGACAAATTATGGCTTACCTAGATACCGGTGGCTTACTCACGCTTGGAATTTTTTCCAGAGAGAAGTAAGTGCTACAACTTCTGAGGTAGAGGGTATGGAATAAATGGCATACTTTCAAAAAACAAATGTTCAAAGCTTTGGATTTGGTCATTTTCTCTGCGCTGAAAAGTTAAGCCTGTGATTCAGTTACCACTGATGTAATTCTTTATTGAGAAATTCCTTAAGTGACACCATGCCCTGCTTTTCTTCCTATGTGTACCATTTCCCCTTCATTTCACGTGGTCCACGTATATTTTAAGAATTTCTTAAAAGCCATTTTGCTAAACTACTGTGAAATTTCCTCTTTCTGAGCGTTTCTTGATAAATATCCAAGTTTTATTTGAGGAGATAAGTTTTCATGACTTTTAGAGCTGTCTTTATTTTAAACAGTTACAATTTTTTTTAAAATACTGGCTCTCGTTTGTGATTAAGCATCAGTATATCATTAAAAGTATGAGTTTTCTAGTCAGAAAGATCTTGGTTCAGATTCTGGCTCTGTAGCTTACTAGTCCATGAACTTCTATAATTTCCTTAGCTTCTTTCAGCCTCAGTCTCCTCATCTGTAAACTAGGGATAAGACCAGTACTTGCCTCCTTGGGTTTTTGAAAAGATTAAATGGGATTGTGAGTTTGATCTCATTTAGCTTACGGTTATTGAGGATAGCATGATAAAGCATAGGTTCTTTTTGCTTTCTTCCTAACTTCCATAGAGCCCTGCATGCACTTATCTTCTCAAACACAGACTATATATAGATTTTTAAAATCTGGTGACTTGACGTTCACCACTGGTATGGCTTCAAACCAAGCTCTTCTCCCAAGCAGTTTCCTTGTGATTGGAGATTCCTGGGTGACCAAGTATACCTGTTTCTTTCACATCATTTTTGAGCGGAGCCACAAGACATGTGAGAGTCAGTGTCTTATAGGATGGATATCCAACTCTCTGCCCAGTTACTCTATCTGGGATATGGGCAGAGGTTTCAGTCCAGGATAATGGCCAAATCTGGCTCTTTGTGTTACAGTTGTTGAGATGGTGAAAATTATCATTGTAACACAGATTTCCTATTTATTTAAATGCTTCCTGGCTTTGTTTGTTTACCGTTCATTTGTACTAAAAACAACATGAAGGGAAGATAGGTGAGACATTAGGGAATTTATAGTAAGCTGTGTTCAGCTATTGTCCTGGATAGAAACTGCTCAGATTTTCTTTATTTTCTGGGATTTCTGATGTAGACCATGATAATCCAGGTTAAAACAACAAAGGAAGTTTTTTTTCAAGGGGCTCCATCTAGATAGACAATGTATAACATTGCAAATGATAGTATGTATGTTTTTAGCTTTATCGTGAGGTAAGTTCCCTCCTCCATATCATAAACCTATTTCACACAAAGGGAGGATGATGACCTCTGGGCACCCTGAACGAATTTTTTAAAGCCTCTTGTGCTAGTGTGTCAGGGCTGTGGCCAAAATAAGTGATCACAGACTGGGTGGCTAAAGCAACAGGAATGTGTCTTCTCACAATTTGGGAAGCTAGACGTCCGAGATCAAGGTATGCAGGGCTGATTTCTTTGGAGGCCTCTCTCCTGGGCTTGTAGAGAGCAGTCTTCTCCTTGTCTGTCTTCCTTTTATATGTGTCTGTGTTCAAATTTCTTCTTCTTATAAGGACATCCATCATATGGGATTAGAGCCCATCCTTGTGACCTTGGTTTAATTTAATTACCTCTGTAAAGATCCTATCTCCAAATATGGTCACATTTTGAGAGCTAGAATTTCAACATGAATTTTGGGGGTGGGGAACACCGTTCAGCCCACAACACCTGGCTCCTGCAATAAATTGAAGAGCTAAAAGTGACTTCATCAGGCCCCAGTTGTCCTGACGACTCCTTCAGTGCACTTCTGGGCATGGACCTCACTGTCAAGGACTCTCAGATGAGCCCTAGGGATCTTTCTTTAATATCTTTCTAAAAAACCGATTTTTAAAAATGTATTTACCTGTGGTGCCTGGGTGGCTCAGTGGATTAAAGCCTCTACCTTCAGCTCAGGTCATGATCTCAGGGTCCTGGGATCTCGTCCCGCAACTCATGCATTGGGCTCTCTGCTCAGCAGGGAGCCTGCTTCCCTTCCTCTCTTTCTCTGCCTGCCTCTCTGCCTACTTGTGATCTCTGTCTGTCAAATAAATAAATAAAATCTTAAAAAAAATGTATTTACTTGTTTATTTTAACTTAATGGTTGGAGAACCAGCTTTGAAATAAATAAGCTCTGCCACAAACTAGTCTGTGGTCTCCACAAGCTGTTTGACCTGTGAAAACCTCACTTCCGCTAAAGGTTAAATGGTGGCAGTATTTTCCAATTTGACACGATGCTAGCATGAATGGCTTTATCTCATAATGTGATTTTAAAGGAGGTGGGAAAACTGCAAAGGAGATGTAGATCATGGTCATGTGTGTGGCATAGTAGTGGGTTCGCGTAGGGGAGTTATAGGGAAAATTTCACTGCCAATCTACTATTTTCTGTTGACAAAGAAAAACAACTATGTAACAAGAAAAAAATATCTCAGTGACTTATTAAAAGAAAAAAAATCTGGCACTGAACATGATATGCTTAAGTTATTTGGAAAAATCATTTCTGTGGAGCACCTCATTTCCTGATGAGGCCAGATAAATGGGCTGTTCTATTGTGGATGGAGTATGAGTTCCAAGAATTGTACTTTTGTCATCAACATAGGAAAACACATATCCTTAGGATATGAGAGAGTGTTCTCTGAGTGCAGGGACTTAAAAAGCCTGACCTGGAAATGTAGTAGTTTATGATTTTTAGAAAGTGAAGTCTTTTTAACCACATATGTTTTTTATGGATATTCAATGACTTATGTAAAATGCATGATGTTAAATTATGTTTGAGTTAATGTGTGATGTTTATGGCATGTCTGTAGCTTTTAGAGCAAGTTTATAAAAGGAAAATACTAAAAATATAAAAAATGTTTCTCTGAAAATTTTAGTATTACTCATAACACCAGTAGTTCATCATTTATAATCCTCTTAAGATGGTGTTTTCTTTTTAAAAATTAGATATTTAGGCAAATGAAAAATATGAAATCATTTTTCGTATTTTCTTTGTTTCATTTCACACAAGAAGTTCAGAATTCTCCATAGCTGATTTTAGTTAGATTTTGAAATGGTGGATTGTGATATTTTATGATACGGTGTTAATCCTGGACACAGATTGGTCTGTGGGGCTACATAATTTGTAGAGCCAGTCACTCTTGGCAAAGTTCTTCTCAGTGATTGCCCAGAGTTCTTGTTTTTGACTATATGGAAGAGTAACTCCCTCTACCCAAGGGCAGAAAATTATCATAGTTAATTATTCTGAATCTAATCTACATATGTCCTTAAGCAGTGTTTCTCAACTTTGACCAGAGAAAGTTTTTGTTAAAACTTGGTGAAATGAGACAAAAAAGAACAAAAGACAGTGTAGTTTTTCTTAAATCCAATTTCATTCAAGCTAAAGGCACATCATTTCTTTGGGATTTATGGTGAGAGAATACAATACTTTATTTCAAGACTCTCATTCAGTTAAATAAAAATGTGTTTGCTAAACCCGAGTTTGTGTCTGAAACATTTTTGAAAATCTACTGGTTAATGAATTCAAGTTGGGTCATTTTTGTGATGTGTGGTTTTGGTCAATCACTTTTTCTCCAGAGATTACAAAAACTTTTAATCTTTGAATTTGTTAAGCAGTTAAATTGGTAAGTAGGTGATACACAAACAGATTGATCAACTGTTCTTTCGTGGCCAGTTAATTGTTACTGTGCATAATGACTCTGTTGCTGTATGATCACTTATAGAGGATTGTACAGTTGAGGGAGACTCAGCCATACCTCATCTGATTTCTTGGGTTATGAGCATTATTGTTCGGAATTGTTCCACTATGGAGCCCTTTGCCACATTTCTGTCATCAATATAGAATGTACACATATCTTTAGGTGATGACAGAAGTGAGTTTTAGCTCTGGGTAGAAAAATTTAAGAAATCTAACATTTAATCTTCTGTAAGCTAAGAAAATATTTGTGTAGTTTCTGAGCCTGACCAGTCATTCTTTCGCAGTTTAAGTGCTGTGGAGTGGTGTACTTCACTGACTGGCTGGAAATGACCGAGATGGACTGGCCCCCGGATTCCTGTTGTGTTAGGGAATTCCCAGGATGTTCCAAACAGGCCCACCAGGAAGATCTCAGTGACCTTTATCAAGAGGTAAGGCCATATGTGGTTAACGTATCACGTATACGAGTTTTCTTATAATGACTTTTAAATAAAGGACCAACAACGTGGCCGTGAAATTCTCTTCTTCTAAATACAAAGACCCTTGAAATTTTTCTCTGGTATGTGGAGAAACAGGACAAAGCTAAAAATCAGTATAAAAATCCGGACCTTATCACATGTGAACAAAGGAAATTGGGAAAGACCATGTTTAGAATCAACTGGGTTTTAAACTGTATTGTCTAGAACCAGTTTCTCTTGCCTCCTAGGGATCCTTTGAAAACAGGTCCATGAGGGGTATGTAAAGAACTCTGCATATTCAGGAAGACAAGGCTGGGAGTTCCCAAACACGATATGTATTTTAAGGCCTCCACTAAAACATATATAGGGGGAAAAAATAATAAATACCGCTCTCCAGGGAAAATGCTGTCCTCTACTCTTCAGTTCCCCCTACTGGCTAATAAGGAACAGCGATGTTAGTTTTAGTTGGCAGATTGAAGGGAGTTAGATGCTCACTGGGTTTAAAATCAGTCATCACATGCCCAAGAAAGTTGCATGTCTGTGTTTTCTGGGAGAATTTATCCAAATCATCAGTTATTCCTTTATTAGCAGAAGTTCTCCTAGTCCTCCATTTTTAGTGGTGAGTTTTTGAACTTTGTTAGCAGTAGAATCTGAATTCAAACTAAAATCTAGAACTATTCCATCCAGTACAGTGGCCAGTAGTTACCCATGGCTATTTAAATCTAAATTAAATTAAATGAAAATGTCATTTCCTTAGTTGAAATAGCTACATTTCAAAGGCTTAAAGGCCACTTGAGACTAGCGGCTTCTGTATTAGGCAATGCAGATATAAGACATGGCCACGTTACAGAAAATTTCATTGCAGACTCGAGCTAGAATGGAAGGGCAAAAATGCAAATCAGATGGAAGGGAGCTCTCAGGCTGAGGGGCTGGGATCATTTCCCAGAAACATCTCCAGTCAAGCATCTGGATATCAGAAAACAGTATTGAAAACCTCTGGCTTACTATAAAATAACAACTCCTACTGCATAATATGTCATCCATACCTACACATGAGCGCGCGCGCGCACACACACACACATATATATAATATAGCTATGAAGAGTGAAACTTTAAAACAGAATGTCATGATTTATAAAACATGCATTTTTATACCTATCTCAAGACCTTAGGACATTATACATTTTTCCCTAGAAATACTATTATTGTTCAAACCATCTTTTAGGTTACCAAGATCGTTGCAGAGCTGCACAGAAATCACTTTCATTAATTTGCGGTGTGAATTATTTGAAAAAAATGGTGGATTACATACACAAATCATCCATCTTCTTTATATCTTAGATACGAGTAGCTTTTGGCTGTTAAAAAATTCGTCTCAGAGGACAAGACTGTGCCGCATTAAGCATATCCAAAATAAAGTGCTTTGGGCTCTGAAGACATGCCACAGAGAAGTGTGCCAAGTGTTTTTTAAGAGATTCAGAATTGTGTTAGTTTCCTAGGGCTGCTGTAACAAAGTGCCACCAAGTGAGTGACTTAAACAGCAGGTCTTTGTGGCTTCGTGGTCCTGAAGGCTCGAAGGCTTGAGGGCAAGGTGTCAGCAAGCTTGGCTCCCTCTGAGAGGGGTGAGGAGAATCAGTTCTGTGCCCATCTGTCAGCCTCTGGTGGTTGGATGCAATCTTTGCTCTTCCTTGGTTGTAGAAGCATCACCCCGAACTCTGCCTTCACATTCACATGGAATTCTCCCTGTTTCTGTGTGTCCCCAGATTTTACCTTCTTCCTAAGGACACCAGTCCTATTGCTTTAGGGAACTAACCTTTTGCAGTACAACTTCCACTTAATTAATTACATCTGCAATGAATCCATTTCCAAATAAGATCACATCCTGAGGTTCTGGGGGTTAGGACCTGAACATATGCATTTGAGGGAAACACAGTTCAACTTATAACAAAAATTGTTGAAACAACTGAATTACTCAGGTTGTTTATTTGAAAAGATAACCAAAGAATTATTGGGTCAATGTCTCTGAGTTCTCCGTGATTATGCTACATCTTTTCTTCTCAAAGTCTGAAATAAGGACAGTCAACTAACAAGTTCAACAGTGAAAGCCCTGTTCATTCCAGAAAACAGAAAACACAATAAAACAGTGCTTAATATTTCCAAGATATTATTAAATGCAAACATAATTGTGGATATTCAAATGTATTATAACTCACCACTAGGTTTTAAAGACACAGATGATTACAGTATAGATGTGAATGGAAACCTTTCCACTTTCCTAGTGTGAACTTTTGTTAGTTTTTAGGAATGGCAAGTCAATATGGGAAATCACTGGGCTACACCACCATATATAACAATCTCTACCTTCTTTAGTGATTAATACTGATAATATGATTACAGCTGGCATTGATCATAAGAATGGCAAAACATGAATCCGTTTACCAGATCTTCCCATAAAGTCTGAATATGGACAGAGTCACTTTGATTATACTTTGTTTAGTTGGAAAGCATTCAATTAAACATCTGATAAAATTTTCTTGCTGTAAAAATGCAATTCGTTTTTACTAGTTTGTCTTAGATTATTTCCACGAGTAGTATTTGTCCTGGAATGCCTTACTTTGGGACTGTCTATAATTGCTTATTCCATGAATTTCGAGATTGAAAGAAGCCACAGGATTGTGTGCATGCAAGTTGAGGAACCAGACTATTTGAAAGGCTTTTTCATATTTTCATCAAAAGACTTTCAGTAGCAAGCTGGCATTGTCAGTTACGAGATGTTCTGTAGACAGACTTCCCGCAGAGATGGAGGTTCATTATATCAGAGTAAGTCTGCTTTTACATTTTATAATTAATAACAGATGCTGGTATTGGTAATAATATAGTGCATAATTATATGCATAGTTGACTTACCAGTGGATCACTTAGTAGTTTTATGGCACAAGTACAATTAAATCCATCATTAAAAATAAGACTTAATTCTACTTTGCCCTGGAGAACATATGTTTCCTAATTGAAGAGTGCCCAGAGATCATCCACCTGGAAGATGAGCGGTCGAGCAGGGAGGGACAAGTGAGGGACAGCTGGAGGTATTTATGTTGCTTGTTCCGAAGTAGCAAATACTAAGGGGAGATATTTTAGATGTCTTCAAATATTTCAAAGTTCATCATTCAGAACAGGAACTAGACTTACTCATTGTTGCTCCAAGGGCCAGACGCTAGAGGAAGGAAATTTTGAATCAATAGAAGGAAGACCTTGCTCATCAAAATCCGTCCGATTGTGACACAGGTTCTCTTGTAAAATAATGAGTGTCTCATCACTAAAAATATTAAAGTCAAGGTCAGATAACCATGTCATTGGCGGGTAGAATGGGTTTTTAAATTAAAAGTGGATCTGGACTAGATGAACGTCAAGGTTCCTTTTATCTTTCCTATTCTGTAAGCTCAGAGATAAGAACTGGTTTTCTTCCTGCAATCTTTCTTCAGTAGTCTGAAATCAAGGAAATAAATCATTCGCAACCATCTGGTGGCCTGCATGGTCCCTGACCCAATAATGTTTTATGACACATTGGAAACCTGTGAAAAATGACAGAGCAGAAATAGAGCGACAATTGCACATTTTAGAAACATTCCCATCAGAAGTATTGTTGGGTTTGGTACACAGGTCCTCCAATACCTGTAATGAGCTACACGCTTGTAGAGAAGTGTAGTTGTAAAAGTCACAGATGAAACTATTTCTGATCAGCAGTTTGGTTCCATCACATTCATGAAGTCAAATGTTTTGTGAGGGCCTCCTGGGCCTCAGGTGCTGTTGTAAAGGCTGAGGATACAGCCAAGAATGTTGCAGACAAAAATCTGTCCTGCATAATTTATATTCTAGTTAGGATGATAAACATTTAGCAAGAATAAAAACAGCAACAAAAAATAATTTCAGGTAGTGGTAAAAGCATTTTAAAGATTCTAAACAGGGTCGTGTGTTTGAGGCTGGCTTTATTGGCGAGGGAGCTACTTAGGATGGTTAGGAACCCACTCTTTTAGGAAGTGACATTTGAACTGAGAGCAGTTGATGCCAAGGACGCAGCCATGCAAAGATCTGCTGAAGAATTTTTTTTTTTTTTTTTTTTTTTTTTTTTTTTTTTAACTCCAAGAAACTACAAATGCAAAATTCCACCCAGGGCTACCCTAGTGATTACTGACTACTTACTACCTTGTTCTTTGGGATTGCTTGTGGAACCACACTGTCCAAATACTAGGTGTGAGACCTGACTTCAGCAAAACATCAGACCCCAAGCTGAAGTTGCTAGAATAGAGGCCTGGGATGCGTCTCTTCTTTCTCTCACCTGCTGAGTCGTCTACCATATCGTTACTAAAGGTCTCTGTCTAGACCTGATCTGGAGTAAAAAAAAAAAAAAAAAAAACCAACAAAAAAACCAGAGAGACAGAAAAATAAAGAAGGCTAGCAGAGAGGAAGTCTTGCCTGTGGACCTATGCTCTTGTTGGACGGGCTTCAAGGGAAAGGTGATACCACTGAGATTGTTTTCAATATTTTTTGTGCATTTTTTTCTGTGACTAGGATCCATAGCTCTCACCAGCTTTTCTTGGGGTTTTTATACCTCAAAGCGTGAAGAACCAGAGTTGTGGAGATAGTTACAGTGTTTGTCACCGCAGATACGAAACGAAGCATGAACATCTCCTCAAAGGGACTGCAATGCCATTTTCCTCCTCCGTGTGCCCCTCAAGACAAATGCATGGAAGTAGACAGGTTCACAACAGGCCCTACTTCAAATGGACCAACTCAAAATGGAAAACAAAGACGAATGGAGAGTAAAGTAAAATGTGCCCCCGTAGACACATTTCTTTGTTTTGTAGTTAGAAGAAAGACCGCTATGAAAAGATACTGACTGCTTCTTCAGAAAAATGATATTCACAGCAGGTTATATGAGGGCTGGACAGAGAGACGGTTTCCACACAGCTGAGTGC